CCGGATTTATGGCATTTTTAAGCTCGTCGAATTCTATGAGTGTTTTCTGGAGTTTCCATTGGAAGTTAAATCGGATACCAATTTAAATTTTTTCAATCCCCTAACCGTAATTTTTTTATGTTATATTAAAATAATACTTTATAATATGGTTACCGGTTACCTCAATAAAATCTTTTCTGAGTTTCCTAAGTTGAATTTTGATTATTTCATTGTGGTGTATACTGATGGCTCTGTTTCACCTCTTTCTGCGGCTATTCTTTTTATATCCCAGAACTACATATTTCCTTTTCAAACAACCTACCTCCTATTCTTCTTCATCTTTCACTGCTAAGTGCTATGCAATCATTGAAGCTTTATCTCTTATTTCAAACCTTGTCTCCAATAAATACTTAATTGCTTCTGATTCAATGTCTTGTTTACAAGCACTAATGTCTAATCCTTTTGACTCTCAGCTGTCTTCTCTAATCCTTACCATTAAATCAATCACCCTTATACTCTATCAAGCCAATTATACCATACAATTTCTTTGGGTTCCAGGCTATATCGGTATACATGGGAACGAAGTCGCCGATAATCTGGCKAAATCAACGTCCAATTTAATATGTCCTGCTCTCACCCAACTCCCCCGTACTGATTTTATTCCAATTTTACGGTGTCATATATCTAACCTCTGGTCCACATACTGGTCAAATCTCCTAGCTGAGTTTGCTACCAGATACAAAAACATCGTACCAAATGTTCTTAACAAAGCATGGTTTAACAACCTCAATTTACCAAGATCTAGTATCATATAATTCAATARCCAACGTTCTGGCCATACTTTACTACCTACTCACTCATACAAATTAGGTCTAAATAACTCCCCACTCTGTACTCCACATCCCAACGAAAGTATCTGTGATCTCCCTCATCTTCTCTTTGATTGCCCTTTTCTGCAAGTGAAGCGCGCTATTTTATTTAATTCTCTTAACTCCATCAATGTTCCTCTCAATCTTTCCTCTATCCTCAACACCAATTCGGAAATAGTAACAAATATAATTATTAATTTTATTTTGGAGGCTGGTTTCATAATATGATTTACTTTACTTTTTAATACTTTTTATTTCATTGTTATAATTTATCTATACTTTTTTAATATTGTATTCTATAGAACTGTATCTTGTTATGTCTTTCAAATAATTGTTGAGCTGTATTAGTTAAATTGAAAGCTAATAAAAAAATAAAAAAAATATGGTTACCTCAATTACTCCAACGAAGAAATAAAAAAGAAATTTAAAAATAATTATATATATTTATAAACTATAATTAGATAGAATAGATTCTAAATTTTTATCATTCATAGATACTATACAAACTTAAACTAGCTTTTGTATTTTGATAAAACATTTTTACCTCAGCAAATTTTAATTTGGTTTTAAAGATATTTAAATGAATAGGTATGTTAAAAACCTTTTCTTATAGGAAAAAACCACTTTAACTTATGATTGCTATTAATTGTATAGCCTTATGTTTTAATATACCGTACATTTGATAACTTACAGCAAAGGTACCTTACTTAACTAACTTATGCCCACTGTGCCTCCGAGTGAATCCCAAAGTTTGTATTATTAAAAATGAAAAAAAATTTATCGCACACCTCATGGGTCTTGAATACAAATAAATATAAAATACAATTATTCAAATTCTCAAATATTTTGAACTTGAATTAGGAAATAGAAGCATTTTTTGTAATCGAAAGGCGATGACACAAAAACATATAATTATATAATCAAACATTTTTCATATTCTAAGAATCTAAAATATGGGAAAGTATGCTTAAAATACATATTATTGCAGTATAGGTAGTTTTTTTTAAATAAATTTTACAATTAAAATTCCATTCAAATTACCTTTAGAGTTATTCCATTATTTTTCTAACTTTCCCAGGTTTCCAGTAACTGTTGCAATTATGTTTACACTGTTAGTAGTCACTAGTCATTGGGTAGACATTAAAAAAAGTTTTARGATAATATGTAAGTGTTCCCAAATCACTAAAGAAATAATTCAGTTTATTAGAATCAATAAATTCATTGAAGAATGAAAAAAGGCAATTTGAAATGAAAGTTGAGTTAGGACAACACAATTGTATTATTATATGTATGACATAGTTCAAAATTGTGGCAAATGTGCAAATGGTTACATAACATAATTGTATATGCTTAATCATGCAGGTTTTCTTGTGATATACTGATATCTAACATGGTGGAGAATCCACACAACTCAATTCAATATAGGTAGTTTTTAAGCGCAGTCAATCAGACAAAATTACAAAAGGTAATTTGTCACTTAAAGGTATTACAAACTCATTATCATGGCTTACCTAATTGATATTTTAATATTTTGTTAAATACTTTACCAGACAACCTTCTTTTTACATTTATTTTTATTTTTATTAAGATATATCTACTACATAGCAGTAGTAACTGTTTTGTTTTTAGAATTAGATGATTTAAGTATTATATTTACAAAGGATGACTAAGATTCAGCTTTAATAAAATAACCTATTCAATAAGGTGCTTACCAAATACTATTTCAATTTTACAAATTGACAATAGTATGTATAACTAATGACTCATATATTTAATTTAAATTTTAACTAATTTTAAAGATACATAATTTTTACAAATTTACAATATTAACCTATATATTTTTATCATAATTAAAGAAATAGCGGAAATCTCAAATAGGAGTTGATACATTACATAAATAATGGTAATTTTCTAGAAATTCAGTTAATTAGCCCGATGTAACCCACTGGGTATTTGCACCATATCATTTACGTGGTTCATTATATCATATAATGGGATAATATTACACTTGTTTGGACCAACAAATTTCTAGTTGTTTACATATTAACGAGTTAAAGCATATTGTATTGTACTGTATTTAATTGGTATCATGGTACAGCTACATTTTCAAAAAMTCGTTAAAAATATATCTTTTTTATCCCAACAATAAAGTATTTAAAATTAATTGGTAAGTATTATGGTAATTTGAACATTTTTATTTTCTTAAAAAGTACTTAAATACCTAATTGGTCAATCATTATACATACAATTATTCTATAATAATAATAAGCTATACATATTTTATACCTAAATCTTACTCTTAGTATAATATAATATTTATAACTATAAATTATAATACATACAAATATTCTGTGATGCCATAATATAATGCAATCTACCTATTATCCAAAATTAATATACATGTACTATGTATAATTTATCTTTATCCACTCAATAGCATAAGATAAAATTAGTTATACTACAGTGAGATCCGCTTAATGTGATCACTGGTTTATAGAATCAACCGTTTATTAGAACCAAAAATGAAAATCCAAAACCAAATTGTATGTTACTAATACTAAATTGACCTTTTATTAGAATCACTAAATACTGGAAAATTGAATCACTTTTATGAAAAATCTGATCGTAAAATAATAAATAAAAATATAATAATAAAAAAACATGAATATGAATTTTAATTTCAAGCTAATATGAAAATGAAATTTGTAGACTGTCAAATACAATAAAAAATATATAGCTTCTTTAATTTGTTTTTAATGTATTTATTTAATTTTAATTTTATTTCAAGTGTAAATGTATACCTAAATATAGAACCATTAAATAAAAAAAAGTTTTAAAATAAATAATTGTATGTATTATAAATTATTAAAAATGTAATTATTAATAAACATGTAATTGTATTAAAAGATTGAATTATGAAAAAAATGTTGTAAATGTTTTATAGAATCAACCAGTTAATAGAATCAAAATGACCTGCACCAAAGTGATCACATTAAATGGAACCTACTGTATTTATAACGCTATAAGAGAACTGGAGATGTACAGCGTTTAAAACCATTTCGATTTTATGTTGGAATTTTTTATAATGCAATCAACAATTGAACATTTTCATTATATTCAGTTAATTTTAATCATACAAAATAACTTCTTTAATATTTAATGTATATATGACATAGGCGTGTCTAGACCTTTGACGCAGAGGATGCAAAATGGTGAGTACCCAAGGGGCTAATGGGCCCTAGCCTCCTTTTTTGAATAATTTTTCTTAATAATTCATGGTGTCACTTGAAATTGCAGAGGGTGCAGGTGCATCCCCTGCATCCCTCGTGGACACGCCTATGATATATGATTAATATTAGGGAACAGATTTGAATGCAAATACCATTTTTTTCTAAATGTCTGAATACATTGATTTCCAAGTACAAACAATGTTTTACATCAAGGAATTAATAAATGTTACTTTTATTTGGCATTTTTAAGACTTTTTACATTTTAAATAATTTTTGACATTTCTAGTGCATATTTATGTTTTAAGTCGTTTTGTATAAGAATGGATAACATTTGATAAAAATGTATTCTAAAGTAATAAAATACTATTTATTCTGACTTGTCGTTTTATTATGTTTTTACTGATACAATTTTCAGTGTACAAATAAGATAGGAGAAGAGGAATAATACAATCATGGAAATAATTAACAATAATAAGAATTTCAAGAGCTTTTCTTTTGTAAAATTTAAGTTATGATTGTAATTCATCGTATTTTTAAGGCATTTTTCTTGTTTTTAAAAGAGTCTTTTAATCTATTCCTGAACATAATTTTTCTTTTTCTTAATACAATATAGATCAATCATATACTACATTCACATTAAAGCCCAGAACTTTAATAACAATTTTTAGTCTAAACTTCAGTGGAATAAATCAAAACTAGTTTTTCTGAATAATGAGTTTGAAGGAACTTTGGTTAGGGCAACAACAGCAGTATTTGATAATACAATAAAAAAATGCACATTAATTCCTAATAAAACTAATTACAAAAACTAAAGTTTGAAGTTAAAATAAATAATGTATTGTATTTTTTTTTTGTAATTTTTAAATGTCAGCAATAGAAAATAGACACAAGTTACCCTGGTATGTTATTGTTAACAAGTTAACTAAATATTTTTAGACCATACCAAAAAACTATTATCAGATGGAGTCTCATCTGGATTATATGTTTCAATATTTTCTGTAAGTGTAAAACCATACATGAATGCATTTGGAATAAGTTGATGAGTAATATCTCTTAGCCCCCAATTCGCATTACGCATCTTCAAATTGCTATCATAATCAAATTTTCTCTCAGGAGTTAGCTTATAATTATCTGTATATGGTCCATAAGTAAAAATTTTACCTTTTGGCTTTAATGCACAACAGCTACCTCTAAATAACCCTAAAAATATATAAATATGTTATTGAACATTAAACTAAGATTAAAAAAAAACCAATTATTAAAATTATTTTACTTTTAAAAACTATACCTTCTATACATCGATAATGAGAAACATGTAACATGTTTATATTCAATATATAATCATATTGTTTATTCATCAATTGACCACCAAGCCATGTAGATGGATCAGAGGATACATCCAAAAATTTTGCTGGTAATACATTTGAAAAATTAGATGTGCAAGCCTTTATGAATTCAATTAATCTTCTATTAACTTCAGTTGGCTGAAACTCAATATTTGGAAAATGCTCGGCAAAATATGATATATGTTGACCTTTTCCAGAAGATATTTCCAATACACTACCTCCAGATGGGTCCATAAATTTTTTCAGAGACGATAAGATTGATTCTTTATTACGGTCAGGGGAATGTTCATGAACCATCTATACAAACATATTACACATACAAATGATACATGCTATACAATTTAATCAGTTAAGCATATTGTGTATTAAGTATTTGAATTATCCTACCAAATTTAAACTTATAAAATTAGGCGTTAACAAATTAAAACTATAAAATAATATCATACAAAAATGAATTGAACAAAAATAATTTTTATTTTGTATTTTTCATACAATCATACCTAATGTTAAATGATTAATTAATAAAATATTGGTTTAATTATTAATATTTAAAAAATAATTATTTCTCTTATAAATTAAAAGTCAATTCCATTAATACATAATATTATAGGTATATTAACTAATAAGATGTGCATCTAAAACCATTATTCAGAACAAATAAAGTTAATACAATATTTTTTCATACTATAATAAACTCCACAACATTTTGGTTCAAACAAAATGTGAATTATAATTTACAGTACATCAATAGATATTTTACATTTTGGGTCTTTTGGGAACTCCAGTTAAAAGATTAACACTTTTCTCTCTTTTCATTGAAGGATTCTTGTTTGATCCTGGTACGTTGCTGTCTTGTAACCATCTAACTTGTGTAGCTGGTCCATATCCTTTCTCATTTTTTGCAGCAATTCGAAATATTATAGCAGGTTTATTAGTCCTATCAATCAGTGCGGCACCAAGTGACTCGTGACTGACTACAGCAGCATTATGAGGACCACAATACACACGAACAAAATTTAAATTTGTTGAAGTTGGTTTTGGACTTTGGTGTGGTACATCCTTTGGATTTTTAATGGCCAAACAAACAGAATATTCTAAGATCTTACCAGAACTAGTAGGAGGAGCTTCCCATGTTAAACTAGCACCATCTGGTGCTTTTGTTATTTTAATAGCAGATGGAGCACCTGGATAACCAGGCAAACAGGTCTTAAATGCAGATATTTCACTCCATTCTCCACGACCACAAGTATTTATAGCAGCTATTCGAAGTTTGTAAGCTGTACCTGGTTGAATATCAATTTTTAATTTATGTGTATAATCAGGTAAATGATCTAAGCTAGTATTTTCGTGTTCATCAGTAGTAGAAGTTGAGTAAAATTGTTTCACTAAACAAGTAGTACCTTTGATTACACCAACATCACACCATGCTGGTCCTTCTTGTTTAACTTGTGCTATTGGTTGTATAGGTTTTGATATTACACTTTCTGCTGTTCCATTAGTAGGAGGTGCTTGATTTAAAGCAGCAGTTGCTAATGTTGACAATGCATCAGCGATATCATTTTCCGATTTTTTCTCTTCTTTTTGATCTGCCTTTTCAACCTTAGATAATGAATTTTCAAGATTTTCAATTTTTATTTGATCATCACCTTTTATAAAATCTGGTTTTATTTCAAGTAGAGGAGGTCCAACATTTTGTGATGGTTCATCAGTTAAAAACTCAGATAATTCTCTCATAACCAAGTCTTTCAATTCTGAATCTTTCATACTTAACACTGATTGTTGATCTAAATCAACTCCGTTATCATCAAGTTTCATATCATTATTCAAAGCTGAATCGGAAACAGGAATAACTTGTTGATTCTCTTTTACTAAACTGTCTTGACCAGAGTCTTGACTAACTGGAACAATTTGATCTTGAGTGGGTTCAATTAAATTATCTTGAGTAGGAACTGCAGATTCTGTTAGATTATCTGATGTTGATAATAATTGATCTGATACTGGTGTGGGTTGATCTACAACAGTGTCTTGTTGAACTGGATCACTAACAACAACTGTAGTGTCTTCAACTTTTTCAATGTCTTCCAATGTTTTTTCAGGAATTAATTCTAATTTCTCAGGCTCTTTGACCTTATCAGTATCTTTAATGGATGTTTGTTCTGATTCTGGTTCTGGTTCAGATTGTTTTGGTTCTGGTTCTGATTTTGGTTCAGGTTCAGCAGTTATTGATTCCTTGTTTTCTTGATCAACTGTAGAAGGGTTTTCTTTAGTTACCTCTACAGTATCTAATTGGTCAGAATTAATAGTTTCAGATTTATTTGTTTCTGTTTTAACAGAATTATCAATGACATCTTTATCATCCATGATCTCAAGTATAGATAAATATAATATCTGAAAATTACAAAAAAAAAAAAAAAATGGAAACATTATCGCGTTGATCAGTTTATTTGTATAATTTTGCACTAAATAATATATGGACTATATTAATTTAAATAAAATCTGTTAATAACTTATAATACCTATTACTAATAAGTAGTAAGGTTTAGATTTTATACATTTACTATGTATCAATTGGGCAGTAATAACAACACCACAACGGGGTTATTTGATAATGCTAAAAGTGACAATGGTAATTTTTAAACAATTACTAAATCATAATTTTTTAATAATCAGATAATAGAACCAAAGTTAAATATTGTTATGTTTGCATGGTGTTAAAGTAAATCTAATCATAAAACATTATTGGACATTAAAAAAAAAAGATTATGTAGTTAGAGGACATCGCACCCGCATATGTTGTCACTATCAGACACACCAAATTTTTGTTCGACCACTTCAATATTGTACTGTAAGTTTTGATATTAGCATAAATTGACCTATTATAAATTTTAAAGTTAAAATTATTTCTAGGGTCCCATGTAGATTTTTATTGATATTATTTGTAAGTTAGTTATGACCTTTTATGATAAATTAATGAATTAAATCAAAAGTAAAAAAATTTCAGATCCCTTAGTCAATCTTACCAGACAAAGAAATCATAGTCACCGAGTACGCATTGAACACACGAGACTTGCACGTTCATATCTAAGAGTACCAGAACTCATGAGGACTCTATGTACCTCTCTATGAAACATAATGATATATTCTTAGAATATTCGACCAACCAATGTGCTAAAAATTCTAAAATTATCACAATCTTCACCAAAGATCAAAGAAGTGTTTGGTCCCGAACAAAAATCAAGAATTAAAGACTTGAACAAGATAGCCAATCTCACAGCAAGCATTATAATACAATGCACCAAATAAACTATCATAGGCTAATAAACACTATATTTGAAACCTTAATCTAATAATATATATATATATGTATACATTATTTAAAGTATTTTTAAAAATATAATAATAAAAATATGATTTAAGTTAAAATTGATGTAACATTTTGCATTTTGTAATCAATCAAAATAAATATAAGATATTAACTTTTTACAATATAGTAAGAAATTATTATAAATTAATGCAATTTAAGTACTTTTTACGTCATAAAAATGTAACAACCAAGATGTCCGTAGCTTTATAATTATAATATTATATAGGCTAAGTAAAAAACAATGCAATATATTGAGAACCATTGCTTAGTGTAGTATGTGGCAGCACAACACAACCGTTTTGTCATTCATCAAGTTATCAGATGGCAACCATACATTAAAATACAAAACTTATAAAATGGTCACTAAATTGAGGCACAGAACCACATGCACGTCATGTGGACGAATTATACAGATTTAAACAAGCAACTAATTATAATATAGACAGTGGCACGACACATATTTTAACTGAACTGCCTTGAAAATTGGAAGATTTGGTGAGTAAAATAATAATAAAAATAATAAAATATTTAGTATACTTCAGTTTTTCAACAATTCAAAAATCAAATAATGGAATTTCATTATATTATTTATAATAAATCATAAAATAATTAAAGTTTGTTTCACAGTTGTTAGAAGGGGTGAGTGGATCGTCAAATTATTTGAACCGTCAGTTTTAATTTCATTAGGTGCCACTGCATACTGTCAAAAAGAATTTTTAAATTTATATCTAATATAGTAAGTGATATAGCTCAAATCAAAAATGTAATCAATCACAAGCTCATGATATTTTATAACACTAAAACACACTATAAGTGTAAACCTAACAAAACATACAAGATTGAGACTATTAGGTTTAAATGTTATACTAATAAGTAGTAACTATTAAATAAATAATTATATTTACCTCGATTAAATAGAGTAGGATTTAAATATAATCTGTTCTTTAAAACAGACAAAAATGAAACAAAGATCAATAACTTACAAAGGTACTTCCAATTGATATTCAAAAAATATAAGAATTAATAATTTTGACTCAAAGAATTCTTGCAAAAGGCAGAATCGCAGAATGCCAGAATCTGAATTTTAGTTTCTGAAATAATGATAATTGATAAAATTAAGTAAACAATTCTTATCATGGAAGATATTAAATTTCACTTATTCAAGCAAATTCTAACAATCTTATTTTACAATAATTACAATGTCTTGTATTATATGAATATTCTAACAGAGGGTTTAGTAAAATGAGTTAATAATTCATAATAGGTAGTTGTATGTTTGACATATTATATTAATAACAATTGGATTCGTTTTTATGTTTGGATTGTTACCTTTCTTATTACTCCATGAAATAGTTGTTTACAAACACGGTGAGAGAAACGTCATTTTTGAAAAGTACCACTGTCCATTAGTCCACTACCTTTTATTCCACAACTTTTCCAAGACGTCAACTTATTCCAATGATACCTTTGTTCTTATGATCGGCATTCGTGTAACAGTTGATCTGCGGCCTCTTTTTAGGTGTATCAGGTGATCTACAGTATTATACAAGGTGTAGTTGGTCATTTACGATTATTATTACCTATTATTTATTATACGTACATTATCGCAGATCGCAGTGGGACAATATTGCGACAACAATTAATGACATTTTTTATAATATAACTACGAGTCATTACCAATGTTGCTGGATAGGTTAGTTTCAAATTGTTCGTTGGTCGGAGTTTGTCTATAGACTATAATGCGTGCGTCTAAATTTTATAAAGTAATTGTTAATGAAAAATCAACAGTAAATTTTTTACAACCATACAACTTACTTCCAAACGCCAAATTGTAAAAATGTGATTCTGAAACAAACATTGTGTCAGAAAAAACGACTGGCTTTTGGTGAACAAAATACTTTTTACAATTTTTAAATGATGCTAAAAATGTTCACTGTAATTGAAATTATTACTATATTTGGTTAATTATTTTTAATTTTTATATTTGATGAATATTTGTATGATTTGACGCAATCGTAGTGAAAAATAAAATRTGTTTTTATACTATTAAAACGCATAGATCACTCGTCCTGAATTCGCAGATCACTCACTCCCCCGGTAGATCACATGGTACACGAATTATTTACATATTTTATTTCAATCATATTATATCTTATACTACTATCCAACACTCTCAACCATGTATAAACACAGAGCACAGCAATCTCTTATATTTTAGCCTTCTACCATGATGTAGAGAAGACGTCTTCTCTAAATCGTGCTTACTGCCCTGCGATTCTCTAACATACAAGTAACAGGGAACAAATGCACTTACCACGCCCCTCACGAATTTCGAAATTTTTTTTTTTAAGATGTGTTTTTCAACACTGATTTCGAAATTGTTTGAATTTTTGTGCGGAAACCATTATTTTGGAAGTTATAGCCTTCCAAAGTTTAAGATTTTACGTTAATACGCATACGCTCAACACCAATTGCGTTCAATTTTAATTGGACTACGTTCTATATTTATATAAATATCGCTATTTTATAACTATCTCATTATTACTAAACTGTTAATTAAATTATCTTTATGATAATAAAATAAGCTTTTTTAATAAAAAAAATTTGATATTCGTTAAAGGCGTGGTAAAGTGCATTTTAGCCAGTAAAAGAGTTAAGAACGAACGACCTAATTGTTGCCACAACTGCATACACACATTGCTAGTCTACAACTATTTACTGTATAGTAGTATCACAGATTCACAGATTATATATTTTACATAATCTGTGGTAGTTATAATATGTCCAAACACAATAAAATTGCGTACCTATAGGCTATAATATGTTGTTTTTCATAAAAACATCTAATGTTCATTTGTACCAGGAATGTCAGGAACAAATATTTTGTGGAACTACTTGCATACACATATTGTCTCGTTTATGAAATAATTAACGGTTTTTTCTTCATTTCGTTACTAAACCATAGACCTTATACTGAGTATAAGGTCTATGTACTAAACATATATTCGTAATGATAAGATAAAAGATAAGCGCCGTTTTCTTCAATATTTGAAAAGTTACATTTTATATTTATCATAGTTCAGAATGTTCATAATGTTCATATCCATATTCCATAGACATATTAATATATATCTATGTTCATATCCCTTAGGCCTTAGACCTTTAAGCTTATTCTCCACTGATACTAGAATATAATAGTCCATAAATATTAGTGTCTGTAAGGATTACTTTGGTGCTTTGGTCATTAATACAATTAATGTTTTTTTATTTACATTTATTGGTCTGTTGTTGTATTCAAAATATTTATTTGGAAGTTGGAACATTTAAAGTGGTATATTAAATTTACTACACTACTTCCTAATTAATTTATCATGCAATTTTCGAGTGTTAATGATCAGCCAGAAACAATTAAGGTAATTATGTGTTTTATTTTAATAATACAGAGTATTTAAAATAAATATATTAGTGGTGTTAATTAGTTTTAAATTTAAATTTTAGACCTTTGAAGAAGATATGAAATATGTTAATTCAAAACTAAAAATGATTGACACTAAACTATCATCTATTCATTCAACTAACAATGAATATGTTAGTAAACTTAAAGGTAAATTAAATACACTTTAATAGCATTAAATTTATCTGATCTGTGTTTTGTTTCAAATTTTAAATGTAGCTAAACTGTAAAGATACTCGTTAAGATTCTTGAAGACTTCAAACAATTTTATTTAACTTACACAATTTTTAGTATTAAAGTATTTAACATTAATTAAATTTAAATTTATTATAAATGTATGTATAAATACATAAATGTATTAGTATATATAGTTGTTAGAAATCAATATTTCTAATTATTAACTGTACTATTTTATTTATATTGCCTTATGTACACACTTAAAAAAACAAACTATTTAATATACTTGACAATTGACGTTTTTACAACACTATTTGACCGACATTGAAGATAAATATTCTATCGCAGCGGTTCCCAACCTTTTTAGTTACGCGGACCATTAATTTTGTAAAAAATTATTTGAGGCCCACCCATAGCATACCTATATACGTTTTTATAAGATTATAATATATATTATATACATATATACATGCATATATAGTTATTAGGAATAAAAAATTTAAAAAAACATTTTCATTACAAAAAAACTTAATTATATTACCTATATATATATATATATAATATTTAATATTATACCTATGGCTCGCGGCCCAGTTCCATGCTGCTCAGGGCCCACAAGTGGATTGATAGAATCTATCGAATAATATATTGTGTGTAAATATACATGATATTATAATTATAATACAAAAAATATGTAGGTACTTTTAATATTACTAGAATTATACAAAAACAAAATTATAAGTTTATTGAAAATAAATCTTAATTCCAATATTTTACTAATTATATAAAAAATAATGATTAAACTTTTACAGTGTTCTAGGAGAGATTCCCCATTTTAACATTTTGTTATTAATCATAATTTATAGCAAATATATTATTTTAATTTTGAAAATATCTATTTAGATATCCTCTACATCCCATATATTACGGGATTGTCCCGTTTGAATGAAGTGCACCGACACAAGTTTTGTTAATTGCTAGCATAAGTCTCCTCACCCATTTTATCATTTGATATCTAACCATTTATATTAACTCCTAGTTCTAACCTAATTAAAGTGAATTCCCTACTCCATTTGAGCTCTAGATAAAATTATTTCATTCACTTAATATTATCTATTCGTTACTATTTTTTCAACCACTCGTCTTTCTCACTGCACCTTTTAAAAAGTACACATTAAAAACTTCGTAAATATTACATACTCAAACAGAAAATTAAAATTAAATATATAAATTATTTAAAGAAATCCAGAGTTCTAGAATATGATATTGTCGTCTTAGTAATACATTCAAAATTTTAGCAATTAGGTGGAAAAAATTAAAGTAAAAAAACTTCAGGTGTCCGCACTGCTGTCAGCTATGATTATAGAGTTAAGTATTAAACATTTTAAAGCTTTCACTTAAATTCTTAGATCTTTATATTATAATACAGGCGATGGGTAGAGCTACTAGTTTTAGACATCCTCCTTCCAATTTTTGATTTTTCTATTCATCACAACTTCTGTTTAACTGTAAAATTTTATTTTATTTTTACTATCTTGTAGTGAGATTATGAAAATATATACTATTTTTATTATATAATATAACCATAWCTTAACTTGTAGTAATTACTGTGGTATCAACTCAAAGTCAAATATTAGTAAATAATAATAAATTAATACTATCAATAGAGTCGAGAATCTTAGGTTTTTATATACAATTACTGAACTTATACAAATTCATCAGAATAAAAATGTGGATAATATTTTCAATACAGAGTTTACGAAAAAAAAAGGTTTTTTTAATAATTTCTAAGTTTATACATTTTATATAATTTATTATTATTATAATTTTTTTTTTTTTTTTTTAATCAATATATAAATAATAAATAATAGATTATCCTTATAATGTGTGTGGTTTTGCATGTAATTTAAAACTTTGGTAGCTTAAGTGTTTAATCCATCAAATATATAACATATTTTAATAAGTAGTATTGTAGTTTTAATCTACCAAAAATGTGTGATTTTTGGAGAGAATGTTATAAATTGGATCACGGACTAAAAAAGTTTGGAACACACATTAAAAAATTCTCTTATATATGGATCTATATAATTTGACTTTGGTACAAAATAAAAATTGAAGTGAGATTCAGGTTTACTTGCACAATTGTCAAACTGTTGCAGTTGAAAGAATGTTTTGATTAAATTAAAAAAAAAAATTTCCATGGGTACCTAGTTCTTGCTACTTAAAACTTACAAAATATCAAAATAAAACAAAAAAGTTCAAGATCAAGAATAAGATTTGTCTAATAATTTTAAATTTGAATTTATACGAATAATAAACTATTTACGAATAGTTGGTTAAAAAACGTAAACACGTATTTAATTAGTATAAACTATAAATGAAAAATATCGCACAAAAAAACAAAAGTTTTAATAAAAATTATTGCCGAAACCAGGGATCGAACCAGGGACCTTTAGATCTTCAGTCTAACGCTCTCCCAACTGAGCTATTTCGGCTTGACGATTCATACCAATTTTGGGCATATAAAATACAATGTGCATAAAACACGTTTCCTTATCATACGACAGTCCGACCAACAGTAAAGTTTTAACCCTTTAACTGTTAGTATCTATTTCAATCTTAGATCATATATATGTATATGATCTAAGATTTCAATATTATAAAAGTGAAATTATTTCACAAGACATCAAACATGAAAAATATTAGGTGTGGCTATGGACTTTTAATTTTTTGATTAGCCTTAAAAACTGTAATTAATATACAATTAGAAACAATTGTCGTTATAATTAGCGGTAATGGATTTTTGCTTCCGGCGTTAATTATCTATTAAAAAAATAGTAATTTAGTACCTATGAAACCAATTTTACATTAAAAACCACTTAGAATTATCAGGAGTCAGGTCCATAATATTTGAACATTTTGAATCTAAAATCATAAAATAAGTGTTCACTTAAAATAGCCTTACCAAAACTGTTTAACGTTGTTTTTTTTAGATTCTGAGCGGAGCGAGGAATGTATTGATTTTACCATGATTTGTGTTTTTTTTGTTTGTGTGTTCACGTTTTGGGGCAGTAAAAGTGCTTCAATTTTCGACTTCAGTACCTCGTTCGATCAGAAAGTGAATCTAATTGGTACTTTGGGGGGTCAAAAGTAAAGTCTTAAATATTTTTATAAAAAATCGGAATAAACAAACTAAAAATTTAAAAAAAAAACGGGAAATTTTAGGCACAATCAGTTTTTGACAAAATCAATTTTGGTTTTTGGTGTAACTCTAAAACAAATGACCACATATACTTGACATTTTCACCGAATGTTTATATAAGTAAATTCTATCCACCATGCAATTTTCAAAAATGTCGATTAAGTTGAACTATTTATAGGCATATGCAATAGGTTCGATCATTATAAGTTTTTTTTTAAATTAATATCAATAAAAATGTATTTGTTGGGTAGAAAAATTTGAAAATTTAATACAAGGATCCTAACATATTTTTATAATAGTAGTTGAGAAATAAAATAAATCCATAGTCTCGATTTTTTTGTTGATGTTTGAATTTTGACAAAATATGTAAAAATCTCAAAAATTCGCAAATTATTTTAAGCTAGAAATTCATAAAAAATGTCCTTTATAAATCTAAGATAGTAAGATTTTAAAATTTAATWCAAGATTCCTTACGAGTTTTTCAATCTTTATCACAAAAAAAATGTCTACCAGAAATTAGAATAACAATTTTATGAGCGTTTGAAATTAAAATTTTTTCCTACATTGGATTTTCACTGGATTTCACTTTTAGTGATTTTCTTATTTTGGTGTAACTCTAAAACACATGACCTCAGATACTTGAAATTTTCATTGAATATTTATCTAGGCATTTTCTATATTTGAGACCTATAATTTTCAAAATATTTTGATTAGTTTTGAGCTGTTTACTGACATTTTAATTTTTCAACTTTTTTACTTTTTTTTGCTATTAATGTCAATAAAATGTTATTTGTTGGGTAGAAAAGCTTGAACATTTAATACAAGGCTTCTAAYACATTGTAACAATAGCAGTTGAAAAATAATAGAAATATAAAACATCTCCCCATAATATGTTGACTTATAATTTTATTTTTAAGGTTTTTATACTTTTCAATATATCTTTTTGTTCCGCAGCAAGTTGAAAAATTTTCATTTTTATTTTTCCGAATTCGAACCCCCCAGAGAAAATAAAAAAATAAAAAGACTTGCTCAATGTTAAATCAATATTTTATTACGGGTTTTCTGATAATTGGACGATATAGACGGTTGCGTTATTTTTATGGGAAATATCGTGTTCAAAGTAAGATGAAACAAATTAGCTTTATAATATGGTTTTAAAAATGTTAACCTTCCCCCCGAGAAATTATTATAAATATGACACTAAATATTGAAGTATATGTTTTTTTTTGTTAGTACCTACTTGAAACTTTTAAAGTATATTATTGTATTGTATACAATGTAATACATAGTGCACTATATCATTTTCAAATGCAATTTGTTTGCTGAAAATTAATCCAACGCAGTACCGTATACTTATGGTATAATAGTATAAAATACTTGTTATTACGTATTGCAATAATATCATAGCTAGAATAAACTTAAAAGTTAGTAATATAGCATATAGGCTGAAAGAAAGATTGTCTTCGCTCAAAATCGTTTTTGTATAGGTACAATGATTTTAATTTTATATCATTGAATTCAAATTTAATATTATACTGATGAAAGTCTAATCTAGACACATACTGTACAGCAGAATGTGGTACCACTTGTCCACTTTTCTAAAATTTTAATTTGTAAGATTTTACATATTTTGCTAATATTTATTACAAAACTGCAATTTTTTTAAACATAATTCTATATGCAAATTAAACATTCTATCAATCCTATTAATAATTTATTAGTTTACTTGTTAATCTATAACCTTAGATTATTTTACCATATAAAATAAGGGTTTTAATACAATCCATAAAATAAACGTCTTAAAGACTTTATAAAAATTTTTTCCGAAACCAGGAGACCTTTAGATCTTCAGTTTAACGATCTCTCAACTGAGCTATTTCGGCAGATACAGATTATAGTATTATAAGATTATACCCATATGTGCCACATAAAAATGTCAATAAAAAAAACACAAAAATTATGCCGAAACCAGGGATCGAACCAGGGACCTTTAGATCTTCAGTCTAACGCTCTCCCAACTGAGCTATTTCGGCTATGGGTGAGGTCACCATTTTTACAGTATGTAAGACGACTTAAGAGTTTATTTAATTTAAATATAGATGGCGTTACTATTATCTATAGGTCTTTAAATAATYCAATCTATTTAAAATAAAATGTAAGTACTCGTTTTACTATTTAATAAGTTTGACTTTTGAGTGATTTCATAAGTTCAATGTTAAATCATTACCCCCATAAAACTATTCCACCATTTCTAAGAATATATTTTTATAATTCATTTTTTCATAAGTTTTTAATACCATGGGTTGAACTGTTTTACCTCTAAATTATATATAATTATTAAATTATTGCCTATATATATATATATATATATATATTATTGTTATTAATTAACTTGTTAAGTTAGTACCACGTTAACTGTTGAACAGTTTTTCATTTGAACAGGCTAGCGATATAAATAGCTTACATTTGGTCTAAATATTTTTAAAATTTTGTCATGTATGCTGGTATGAGTCTAAAAGATAACTAAAAAAAAACAATTTTAAAATTGACGTTTATAGTTTTAAATTTAAATGAATATATTATATATTATTAATATAACAAAATAATTAATTTGTTGATGAATAATAAATTATGTAAAGCTATTATAATAATGTCCATGTATTTTTCTAGATACATCTAATATAAGTTGTCTAAATCATTTAAAAGATCAAGAAGCTGAAAAGAAAATTGAAAACCCTCCAAACTCTACGGCCAAAACTTCATACAGGTAAGTGTACTATAGTTGTATTATTGTATATATTTATTTTTCATGACAAATCTCGACTGCTCCGTACATGATTGATATAATATAGTATTTACTATTTAGCCATATATCTACTTATATTTACTAGAATGTCTAGAATATTATATAATCCAAAGTATTATTAAATATTATTTATTTATTATTATATTATATTATCTAAAATATTATACCTAAATTATATTTAAAAATTAATTATTATAATTTATTATTGGAGTAAACTATTATACATTTTATTAGTGATTACTGATTAATGTCGTGCTCTTCTGGTGGGATACTGGGAAATGAGAATAATCCCAGTGGGACGCAGCTCAAAAATTATAAAATAGTTATGCATTTATAACATCTAAGTATTTTGTTTTTTATTATGTAACGCGTGAATGCGAAATATTTTTTTACATTAGTCATTAAAAATTGAAAATAGATTGTATACACAGTGAGGTACCGTATTGGCGTATTCCGTAAAACTCTCTCATCATCGTAAACAGTTACTACTATTTGTATTTAAATAATTGTGCTCTAGAAATTATGAGCAAAGACCTATACTAAACAAAAATATTAATAATCATCAGAGTACTCAATCCACGACTCGCTATAGTAATGTTACTAGTTATTTAATACCTAGTGATAATTGATAATAATATTGTACCTATTGTAGATACACAATAATTATATGATAAAATATTTAAATATTGTGGGCTGATAACCAAATACTCAATGGACAACATTTTTAAAAGTGACTATTTTTAATAACTATTATGAAAGTGTAATTCGGTACTCTTATATATAACTCCAAATAATCTATTAACTAATTCAATTAACTAATACCTACACACAATGCCGTAACTGGGGGGGAGGGTCCAGGGGTCCGGACTCCCCCTCCTTCCCGAAATTTTTTTCAGTTACGGACTTGTCTACTGCCTACAAATATAAAGGGTACATAATATCGAAATTCGAAAAAAAGTAGATTCGTATAGTTATTATAGTTTTCAAACTAGATAATATCGATTAATTGTCGTTCATATTGTACCACAACCTTTTGAAAAAAAAATACGAAGATATGGGAATATGTAAGCAGTACAGTAAAAGTTACTAATTTTAAATTACTTTAACTTCAAAATTAAGCCTGATCACATAATTCTGACTTCACTATCATTTTTGTACTTATACCTAAGTCAAAATTATATACAAATTGTAAAAAAAAAAAAGAATCGGTAAAATCAGGAAATCGGATTATATTCGTGCTATTATAGGTATACGCTACTGCTACATGTACACTTTAATTGATATTAATTGAAGTTATTACCTAAGAGCAATATGGGTTATAATAAATTAGTATTTATGATAATTGATAATTATTATTGAGATATGTAAATAACCGTAACAATATAAAATCTTAATAGTTATTTGAGAAAATAGCTGTCGGCTGAACATAAGCTTTATCATAATAACTACTCGTATCTAAATAATTCTAAGTATTATCTAGGGACTATGTACTATCTTAGGTTGCTATATAACACATTATATTTCCTTCAACCTTCAACTTCATAATAATAAATACAATAAATAGTTCTTCCAAATTTACACATTTTTTATATCGTTGTCATTACTCATGGAATCCTTGGGTTATAATATATTATTATGAGGGCAATATAAATAATATGTACCTATATTACAAACTATATTTTCAATTTTTTAACAAATAAAATTAAAATTTTCAATTTGGCWATGAAGTATGAATAATGAATTGTTAACGGTTTATTAAAGACACTTGTTTACTACAATTACTGGCTGAAAATAGGCTTCGTACTTTATAGCATTTTAAACTACTTTAATATGACGTGCATTGTTACATTTTATCTATATTATAACCTTACTATACGAATGCATATTTAAATTTGAAATATGCTTTATTAATGTTTAAAAAAGCTTCATAAAATATACTGGTCAATAAAATACTATAAATCAATGAATCTTGATAAATTTAATATTTTAATAAAACATAATATAACCATTAGATTCGGGGTTAATATAATCTAAATAAATAAATTAGATATTGTTTTTCAGTATTACATGTTAGTATATACATTATTATCTAAACAGTCTACACTACTCTATAGACCTGCAATCCAATACAATTCAAATTATTATGTTAAGTGCACACAACTGTACAAGGTTTTTTTGCAATACCTATATTAAATAATGTTATATTTGTATCATACAAATTTAGCATTATAACTTTATGATAACTGGTGGCTAGCTTGATTTTATTTTTAGTTGAAAAACAGTTGTTCGCTTGTGTTAATAGAAGGGCGCATATATTTTTATAAGTATAGGTTGGGTGTTTTTATATGAGGAAACCGGTGTTCTTATACTGACAAACACGAGCAACTGAAACTGCAGATGTCTTTGGACTTATTGTTAAGAGTACTTTTTATAGTTATGTGCACCTTTTTGATCAGCTGCCTCAGATGGGTATGATGCAAGATAGTGCTCGTGCCATAGAACATAATATAAGAGGGGTTCAACCTTTCTATTTTCTCCAATATAATGGAGTGTGAAAAAAAGGGTCCTTACTCCTTTGTATCCAAAGGCTTTCTTCACCTAGTTAAAATGGTCCAATGGCTTACAACATGCATATACCTATGCTTCTTTGTTACTATTTTACAAAACAAAATTAAGAAACCAACCTAATGAATAGATGAATCACGAATATAATTATTTATAAAATGTCTAAGACCTCAGTATTGGTGTTTTATAACAAAATAAACCATAATATTTAATATGATACAGTGATTAGTTTTCAAATGATTTTTCAATTTTTTATACAACTCTATAATGTGTCGTATAACAATATATTACACAATCGTAAATCTAACTGGATACCTATTTTAAACCTATAATAAACTTGGGTTATTAATAATTACTGATTACTGATTAGTTATGTAAGTTTTTTTTTTAATCTGCTACTAATATCTTCATTTTTACTACGGTCACGCGGTACTGTAAACATACCTAGGTGAATAAAACTCGTATACACATCCTGTCTTTCCAAAAAATAAAAATAATAATTTTGTGTACTTGACGTGTAATGCTTATAAATATGATTCTAGGAACGTCACATTAATATTATGTAAAAATTGAGGCTAAGTTGCTCTGAAAAACTGTTTGATTTCCCCAAAATTCTGATCAAATTAATATGACGTAAAAACTTATAAGAAATATATTTCTTGGATTTCATCAAAATAACTTAGTCCCCCTTCTCACAAATACAATTTGTGCCTATTTGGTCAACGTTTAGGTATATTATACATAGGTTTTACAGCTGTCCATATGTATGTAATATCAGTTGTCCAAAACTCATTTTAATTACGTCTTTCTTTAGACAGTATAAAAATAATAAAAATAATAATATTTAACCCATCAATCGGAAATTCTATATTTCGTTGCGTGTGCCACTTGGTGTTTAATTCTTCCACTGTAAGACGTACGTCTACATATCAGGTCTTTATTCCGTTTTATATTTTAATTTTACAGTCACAACTACAACTTAAAAATTCATTAACAGGTAGTAGAAATCCAAGCAATCTCAAGGTCCTTGGAAAAGAAAAAAACAGCGCGTCACTATTGTGTCACTTTTACACGCAAATTCACTACTATGTATGAGCAGACGCGTACCCAATTGTTGTGAATGGTGATGGCAAATCTCCATATCCAATTTTTAAAATATAAAACTAATACATTATGATAAAATAATGGAATACAAAAGTGATATTACTGTTTATATGTTTGGAATATTTTTTGAATTATGGATTCATTCCCAAATGTCAGAGTTTGAAATGCAGTTGACGTTCTGATAAATAAGAAATAACTACGCGTTGTACACACAAACGAGATAACGTAAAGAAACYAACCAACCTTGGCATGGACGATCCATAAATGTGTTTTGCATACAAAAAAAAACTCACCTAACCTGAATACCATTGAAGTAGTCTAGAAAATATACGTATCATACTTACACGTACATATCCGATATACGCAGTACGCACATGCGACTACACTTAATAAATGTGTATTAAAATAATATAATATAACTACTTTATGGTGTATCGTGCATGTATTAATTAATAATTATATAATATATTTGATACTTTCAAATTTTGGTTCTTATTTCATATGTACATCAGTACATGATATTTTTTATTATTAACTCATGTACAATGATGATTAGATCTGCATTAACTATATTTTAGAGTTTTATTACAACATTACAAGTTATGTTATCCAAAATCCAACCAACAAATCAAAAAAATATACAAATGTATAAAACACCAATTTACACATATTTTAAAATGCTCTGCAGTTATTGAACTGATTCAATTTAGGCCAGATACATACGTTCATTTTTTAATAGTTTTAGAGAAAAATTATCAAATATTTTGGAAAGTTTGACGATATACAACTGTGTAAGTAATAATAGTATAGAGTAATGATAAAACAATAAAAAATTAACTATTACAATAAAATTAACAAACATATTCAATTATATAGTGTAATTATCTTATAAATATTTTTTTTATTGTTTGTTCCTATTATTTGTTATCGATTAATTTTATTTTGTAATGTTTAATAAAATAATAAAAAAGTGTTGCAAAATTAGTTGCCTCCTGTGAGGTTTGAACTCACGACCCCTGGTTTACGAGACCAGTGCTCTACCACTGAGCTAAAGAGGCGTGTTGCGGTAATAGGAGGAAATGAATTTATTTAAGCGCAGTCGTAGGTTGTATTTCAGTATCATGAAAGTTAATGAAAGTATTATAAAAAAATGTATTTTGTTTTTATGTTACGTAGTTATGTAATATACATCATTAATTTGTATTATCTATGCAGAATGTATGAACGTTTCAATAAAAATCAAATGCCACGACTCTTATTTATACTTATAATCAGTTGTAGATCCCTACATT